ATATATTTATTCACAAGTTACGCCGAGCAATTAAACATTGATAACGATCATAGCGATCAAAAAGACAGACAATCACGTCTTTCATATAACTATGATTAAACATATAAAATAATAATAAAATAAATAATATTTTTTAGAAAATATGCGGTATTGTGACAAGATATTTATAATTTTGGTTATTAACTGATTAAATTTGGCAAATGCAACACAATTTTATCCGTGAAAATCTGATTAACTTGAGGAATTTGAAAAATTCAGTGACTCTTGATGTTTCAAAAAAATTATTCGTTAATGATTATAGTCAATCGCTAAAATTCGATAATCATAACCTATCAATATAATTGAGTAGAGCAAATCAAAAAGAAATCGGGCAAGCGTCAGAGGGGACGTTAACGAGAATTTGAAGCATGGCCGACAGGCACACACGCATGAAAGTCGAGGTGGAGGGGAGTCTGTCCGTCTTAGCTCTTTCAGTTTGCATTTGCCATTAGCCCATCAAATCATCGAGCTCTTTGCAAAATTGCCGAATGCAATTTTCTGTCTCGCTGTCGCTAACCAAAAGAAGGAAAAACAAGAACGTAAATTTGCCTTTGCTTTCGTGTAATCCGATGAGTTTAATAGTCTTGCGCCCTTTTTCTTGGCTATCACGCGTAATCATAGAAGCTAGACTCTGCTCGGGTCAAAAAGAAAGGAAAAGAAAAAAATGTGCGCGCGCGGCTTTGAAACGTCAATTTACTTGATTTTGCCTCAGCTTAGTCTTTTGGCGCTTCTCTTGCAGCCTTTTACCACCCCCTGAAAAAGATAAAATGTACTTGAGGGGAAAATAGCGCTGTTAAGCGATGTCGCGTCGTTCCAAAGATGTTTTTCTTTGACAGTACTCTCTTTTCAAGTAATTTTGTGGATAAACTTTTATATGTAGATAGAAATGTAGCACTCTCGTAGCAAATTACACAAGAAAATTACTTCTTCTTATTATTTCTCTTATTTAACCCGAGGCATAAAGCCTTCACATAATGATGTTGCGAGGTAGAGCCGAATAATGAATCTCAGCTTATGCATTTTCTCTCTCTATCTCTCTCTTTCGAGCTCTAATGCCCTTTCAGTTTCACTGCGGAAAGCTCATTGTGCTACAGTATGCATATGCACAAAAGAGCTTGCGCATATACGAGCTGCGGCTGCACTTGTTGCTCTCACTCTGCACGGATTGTCTCCACGCACAGCTCACAATAATGCAATCTTCTTCGTGTCTCGTCAATTCTCCAGTACGTTGACTACAATCGATGCCAAACTTCGTTTGCCTGTTTTTATCGTGAAGATACTGCGTTATTTTCTTCGACTTTGCTACGAATAATGTGTTTCACTTTTTTATATTGCTTTAAAATGAAGATACTATGCAATAGTTTTGTTTTTTGTGGTTTCTAAGTTAATGTAATTTTAATTGATTTAAATATTTTGTGGATCGTAGAGCAAAAACTTATCGTCTTTAATATTTCGCAATAGAACAATGTAAATAGAAAATACGAAAGTTCTGCAAAATACGCAAGATTTCGCGATGTACGATGCAATAACAAACAAAGAAATGTATCCTACTGTTTAACAAAATTGTATGTTTCAATAAACTATTCCGTGAATGAACCAGAAGCTAATTTATAATGTACAGAGACAGACAGCGAAAAGCTATTACATAATAAACAACATTATTTGGTAATTCGAATCTTATGAAATCTGTTTGAAAATTAGAAGTAATGCGTTGCATAATTAGTAAGCCACCTCTGCGTAATATAACAAGCTCATCGGCCGTAAACAGAAAGTAGGCCAACGCCATAAGATGGACCGGCAATTTCGTGAAGGCTCTACTACTAGGTTCCTCTAACCAGGAACAGACTCCAGCGTTTTCTCGGCACAGCAAAGTGAAACGAAAGCGAAGGGCCACCGCCTCCTCTTGCCCGTTAAGCGGCCTTAAATCCAGCGTAATTTCATCGCTCTGGTATTATATAATAATTGGAGAAGCTCCAGATGGTACCGTCGCTTCAAATTTCGTGATATAAGAGCTGCGCGCCTCCCTCCTTCCTTGCGCGCTGTTCTCTAAGATTATAACGAAAGTTCTTCTAGCGAGAGTTGTATAAATTTTTCTCCCCTACGAAAATTACGAACCGACGGCGACGATATAATGTGGGAGCTCTCTCTCCCTCTCTCTCTCTCCCTCTCTCTCTCTCCCTCTCTCTCTCTCACCCACTTACTCAAGACAGAGTAGTAGTTTCGCATCTAATTAGACGATGTATATATTCAGCACTCGGTGTATAACGCGTTTGATGAGGCCACTGTCGTAGCTAGACTGACATGGAGTTCAGTGAGCGAAATTGGAGTACCTGTCTCTGTTTAGCGCCTTTGCTCAGAAACCTACCAAGTTCAAATAATAACTACGCAAATACATTTTCTATGTGGATGAAGTTCGTTGAAACATGTCTTAATCAAGTCTAATGAGCGTTGCAGAATGCGAATAAGGTAAATTTGTATCTCGCTAGAATATTTTTCTTAAAAAATGAATGTTTATAGAAAATAATTTGATTCTAGCTAGATTGTATTCTAGATTGTATTCTAGATTTTAATTGTATTGTTTAGGATATCTCGCAACATTATTCCGAATGAAACTTTAGTCGTGAAAGCTGAATTACAAATCAGTGAATAAACAATTTCATGAAAGCTTAATAAGCTTTTTACAAGCAGCAATAACTCCGTTACGTTTATTCCCGGATAAATCGTGTAAATAGTTTACCCTTTGGAATGACAGCGCTGAAGCGGTTTTGATTTTCATCTCACAAAGCGCTCTCTCTCTCTCTCACTCTCTTTCTCTCTCAGTGCAGTCTGCATTACTTTTTATTTTGCACGAACGAGTTACCTGAGCTCGACGGAAGCGAAACTTTCGAAAGGAATTACTGCGAAAATAGCGGCGTTGCTCGGGTACAAAGGATGAGAGAAAGAGGAAGAGACCGTAGCGGCAGTAGCAGCAGCCTCCCATCAAGCACTTTTTAAACCGATTGTGGTCGCTTGATGAAAGGAGAACAATTTCAGCCAGAGAAAGTAAGAGCCGCGATAAATATCTCTCTCTTTTCATCCTGACCCTACATTTTGATAATACCACGTCCTAACATTTTTCATACATCGTTGGGCTTTTGTTTTGTCGGTAGGTGTCTTGAAAAATCTCAGCGTCATTCTTCGAACTTTGCAATTTTGATAAATTAAAGGAAGTAATATCTTTTCTTTCGTCCTTTCATACGTATAAAAACTTAAAAAGTCTTCTTTCAAACTGTGATTTATGGATTTACTGTAGAGTAATATTTTTTGAGTACTACTGAAAAATTAATTTAAATATGACAAAAGCTATATTGTGCTGATATAAGCTCTCAATCCATAGTTGAGATGAAAAAACTCTATTTTCCTGAAAGCAGAAATCTAATGGAAAGTTTATTTTGGAACAAAAATTGTTTTATTTTTACAACTCTCACTTTCAAAGCTCCACTAAATCATTGACAAAAAACTGACTGTATCGAGAGATTTTTATTCGATACATACGACTAGGAACAGAATAAAGTAACAATCGCACAATTTTTCCTTTTTTACTTTTTGATATCCCAACATTTTTCGAATTTTTCAACCTCTGTGACTGTTGCAAAAAAATTTATCTCTTTAAGTGCTAAATCGTCTTGATTGAAAAATTCAATTTAAACTTTCCAAATAAGAAGAATGTTGTCATCGAAGAAAAGATTTCAAGTAGTCGAACTTCAATTTTAGTCAGACACGTACACTATTGAAAGTACAGTTATATTATTTATCCAAATTGATAATTTCTTTTTATTACCAAGATATCTAATTTTTGAAATATATATTTAAAAAGCAATATTCTTTGCAGTATGGATAATGAGAAATGCTTACGTTACTTTCATAGCATTTATAATTTTAGAGAGAACCGAAGCACGTTTAATGCATACAACAAATTGGATTTGAAAAATGTGATTTAGAAAAGATTCACGAACATGTGTTAATGCTGAAAATTTATAATCTTTAATTAAGAATCTCAAATGAATGCAAGCAGTCAATAATTAGTGATACTTAACTTGACAATTACCCTAAATGAGGCATTAATTACGCCCTATAATTAGTGCAAGCTACTTCCTCTAGCACTTTAGGTATATAATTTAGCGATCGCGTTTCTACGTGAAAGCGTTTCTTCAAATTGATTATATTACAATCGAGAGCTATCTAAAATAATGCTCATCTTTGAGTTGACCTAATACATCGAAGCAAAGTCAACTGCAACTTCGTCAGTGGGTAAAGAATCCACGATAGCATAAGCCACAGCGGTGAATAGAGTTCTCGGAGGGTAAGTATCTAGCGCAAAGCAGAGGGAAATGGTCTATTGTGCGGATACGCATCCCGCTAATCGGCCCGAAGTCAATAATCCATGATCCGCTCTCTCAGCGCCGACATGTAATTGGGATCAGAGCTTATCTGTAGCGACGCAGTACCGCGACTCGATTAACTTGAACTATGAGGTATACTGGGCGAGGACTGACTCTGTCTGTCTGCTTATATCATATGCAATACACGGAGTAAGTATCGAGCTTCGCCTCGCCTCGTTATGACTCGTGACATGGGCGAAAAGACTGTTTGACGGGGTTCCGACGTAAACTTCTAGATCATACGCGATAACTTCATGCGGTATATTGAAATGACTTGATCAAAGTGAACCATGATGTGTTTTATTAAGAATGTGTTGATATACTTTTTCTTCTCTTTGCATAATTTCAAATGGATAAGTGATATGTTAGAGCTGTATTAAAACAAAATTTGTTTGTGATGTTGAATGTTAGTTGTTATTCTTGAAAAGAAATGAGACTGCAATAATGCCTAAATCGTATTGGCACGTGCAACAGCTTAAACTAAATAAAATGGAAACTCCAGAGACTCATATACTAAGACGCATCATCAATGTGTTTCAGAAGGGCCAATCTTCACAGAGCCAATATTGAACGTGACCATCCCGGTCGGCAGGGAAGCCGTGCTCTCGTGCGTCGTCGAAAATCTATCCACATACAAGGTGAGTCCTTACATACTACGTATCGTCTACGTATATGTGGATGTATGTATGTACATGCACGAATGGCCAAAATGCCAACGAACGTTAGCCAACTTTTGCGCCACTTCCGTCGTGTAGCCCAGTAGTAGCGGCAGCAGCAGCAGCAGCTCGACTGTCGAAACTTTCCTTTCAATGTACATCCTTTGCGAAAAGTGGTACTTAGCGAGCGATTCTATCGCGTAATGCCGTGTGTTCTCTGAATATAATGAGATCGTTCGAGCGTTTTTGAAAGGTTTTTGAAATTGCACGCGACTTTGTACACTTTTAGAGCTTTCGGAGCCTTACTCCTCCAGTCTCTCTCTCTCTCTCTCTCTCTCTCTCTCTCTCTCTCTCTCTCTCTCTCTCTCTCTCTCTCTCTCTCGGTGAAACTCTCGATGTCGAAACTTTTCAGGGCCTGTTTATTTTGCAATTGTTCTGCCGTAAAAGCTTTAGAACGATTCTTCCTCTTATCGGATTCCGTTATCGACTGTGTAACTGCAAAAATCAGGACGTTTTAATGTTTTTGAATAAATACTACAGTGATATTAAAAAATAATTTAAAAGTTGTACTTAAAACAAGTTCTTGAAGCGTCGGCTTGTTTTGTGGCGAATAATTGCCACAAATGAAATATTTTTCGAAATAAATTATTGTGCCGTATCCAAAGGAAATATTAAATAGTACTCAAGCTAATGGTCCTCCCATCATAGTAGATCAAACGCGAAACACTCTACGTGACAATGGTGTCGTCGAAATGCATAATAACATATAATCAAGTAATAGACTTGCACTGATTCACTTGAAAATTGCTATACAGAGATTCGTGCTTGATGCTATCTCGATTGACATGAGAGCGCTGCGAAAATAAGGGTTTGAAAATGAAGCACTGTGCAGTATAATGCAAAGGGCTTAACTTGAGTGCGTCAAGCTTTAAGCCCTAACAACTTATCATCGCGTGTCTTGATGCTTCTTGACTCGACAGTTTTTTTTATCTCGAGTGTATATATAAGCGCCAAGCAAGCATTGATAATCCTGTGCGCGCACACTAAGTAGGCTAAATCTTGCATCCTTATCTGTTGCCGGCTTGGTATTAAGTTGGATTAAAGCCCCGGATTAAATGGAATGATTCATTAAAGGCGTTCGGCGCTCGCTCGCCGAGAAAGCTCAGCTTTGAGTTTTCATGGAGATATATGCATCGCTGAATACTTAATAAGATTAACACTTTGAGTTAGTCTGTCGTTTTCGAAAAGACCTCAACGAAAAATGATGCTGCTCGCTTCTGATGCTATTTTCTTGGCATCTTTTCATCGAGCAAGATGCTCTTGCATCTCTACAAACAAGATAACTTTGCAAAGTCAATGTTTTCAATGAACGATTGAAAAAGTTATTCAATTAAAAGGTGTCGACTCGAGCTAAAATTGCATCATCAGCGGTTCAACAATGGAATCGATCCCATCTCCTTTATACGCATTCAATCGTAGCAACTCCGAGCCAACTCACGTGCAAGCGTCGAACAATATCTCATTGCACGCGCTTCCAAGTTTTCCCGCGGAACGGCAAAAGTTGAGAGAGAAAGGGAAAGGGAAAGTTCTGATTGTTCGGGCGTCTTTTAATTACCGGCACTTAAGAAGGATGTCATTTCCTAGCGGTTTCTACCGTTTGAGCGTCAATTTAGGACACCGTTGGGGTGCATTCGCGCGTCTTAAACTTCAACGTACTTTTTATCTCTTCAGAGAATCTTCCTACTTGAGTAATTTTAGACTGTTTTAACATGAACGATATTCTTTTCCAAAGAGAACATTAGCGAAAAAGTTTTTGATATTATGTAGGAATTTTATAGTAAGGATGTTACCAAGTTATAGTTCTTAAATATACCTGCGCAGCCTTACGCCGCTAAAACTTAGCTCGTTGCTGATACTAGAAGTCTTTCAAGAAAAAAAGCAAACAATTTCAGCCTATTATTAAGATTTTTAAGTGCAAAGTTAGTTTTAAATAACTGTTTATATTACTTTTGATGGTTTATTCAACTAAACATTCATTGTTTTCTTTTGCAAGAGCCTTTCTTCACGATAACCTCAAAAATTTTACGTCTAGCGTGAATTTAACTATTATCATTAAGAAAGTGAACAACTCTATAAAAATATGTTGAATAAAAATAGAAAATAGAATAGATTGATTAGTTAAAAACAGTTGTTGAAAAAAATGTATTCTATAAAATTTACCGAGGAAAAACTTTTCGAATTGACAAAATCAACTAAATTTTTCTGTCAAACAAAGATAAAAACTAGAGCACGAAAATATTGAATGGCTCTTTGTCAATAAATTAATCATAAGATGGTTTTTTTATTCAATGCGCATGGAATAGAGTTGTGAAACTAGATAAAAATAAGTTTACCGGTAATAACAAAGTCGGGCGCCAAATCAATTTGGTTCTTTTCGCTTTCGTCTTTCTTGTTTTATTCAGAGGGATCACCACGCCGTGGGCCTTTGAGCCCGTTATCCACCACTCAAGCTCGACCTTATAAAAGAAGACCGCTTAAAGCCCCTTATCGAGCACTTTCTACTGTCCGTGTGGCGACTCGGACACCGCAAAAGCTACGGTAATGATATAAAGTTCTCGCGAATCGTTCCTCGCAGCTTTAGCTACTCAAATTAGGTTCTATTGTATGCATAGAGCTAACTCACTTATACTTCGAATAACGTTATGAAGTTAGCAAAGGATTGTTGAAAATTAGTCTGAGTAGTGAATGTGCTTCTTATAGCACAAATTCTATGTACGTTTAAAAAATAGAATATGGAAAGCTGGATACTTTTTAGACTCTTCAAAGACCTTTAGAAAGTAACTTCCGTAAGCAACAAGCTTCTATTCTCCAGAACAACTTTCAAAAACTTATATATACTTTCCTATATAGCAATTTATCATTCGTTAGTACACTTTTCCATCAACAATTTTTTTTCTGATAAATTTCTTGACCCATGTATGTTATTGATTATGAAGCTCGAGTAAACCGTAGTATATAGAACTAGTGCATAAAAATTGTTGAAAGTAACTACGTATATAAAATATTGCGCGTAAAAAATTAGAAAACTCGCACTCCAGAAAGTCAAGTAACCTACTTTTTTTACGGAGCATGAAATCGTGCTACGCTACGAAAAACATACAATGTCGGCAGCAAAAAAAAACATGTCTCTTCAGAACAGCAAAGTGCTTTATATACATAATGCAAAATCAGAAGTATGAAATGTTAAAAACATGAAATATTAGAAAAAAAGAGAAATACTTACTGTTGAAAAATTGACAGAGAGAGAGGTGCGAGAGGGGGAAGGAGGTGGGGGGGGGGACCTGGTAGAACTGTAGGAATTTCAAGCACACATCGACCCTATTACAAGTGAAGTTACGTTTCATGCTGACAAGCACGAGTTCGCTATGAAGAAAGGTGGTAATTTATAGGATGAAAGGTCCCCTGCTGTTTATTTCCTCGCGCGAGCGTGCTGGAATGCTTGACATCGTAGCGTTATTAAAAAAAGTAAGGAGCTCAGATACTTTGAAATTTCAACAAAGAGAGTCGGCCCTCGAAAAACGAACGAGCGCCTTTACGAGCGGAAGATATATAAACGCGCGAACGTGATCGCGCGCAAGAGCCCCATTATAACTTTGACTGAGCTCGAAATTTTCCGGCCAACTTTTCATTTCGCTGCGAATATTAAAAGTCCGAATTAGATCGTCCTCCCACGCTCGCGTTGCCGCAGTCCCAAGTCGTTTATTCTCGCTGTTTCTGGCCCAAGCCCGAGTCATCGCAAACAAGCTGGAAGTTGCTCTTAGGAGACTTTTTACACCTTCTCCTCCGCCGGAATGCGACGTTTATTTCTTTCCTTGACTCTCTCCTACAGCCGCGCGTATGTGGGCCGTCGCAGCTGGCATTACACTTTTAAAGCCGGCTCCTTGTAGTTTATTGCCGAGATGGAAATCAAGGGATTAAAGTACTATTTTACGTTTGCAATACAAATCTCTCGTCTTATTTTCAATCGATTCTGGAATTTGTAACGGTCAAACATGGAAAATACTATATATGAGATTGAGACATCAGGTACTTGTATCAACTCAAAATTATTTTCAAGAAAGCCTAACAATTACGTTTTATAACTATTTAGCGGATATGACGTGTTTTGTTCGGCTGTGATTCAATGAATTAATCTTAGGCAAAGACCTTTTTAAAAAGCAGTACGAAATATTCTAACAGTAAAGAAACAATAAATTTAATAATATAAAATCGAATGAAGAAAACATAATTCATTCCATGACAATAATCCTCCCACCGGATTTAAAGGTTTTTAAACTAAAATGTTTCTTTGAAAAGTGCTGTTTAACAATTTTGAGTGCAATTTTTATGATACAGAGATTATACATATATTTCACTTAAAATATAGATACGATAATTTCTATCTATTTCGTCACATTGAACTATCGAAGTGACATACACTTCAGTCAAACAATTAACTTGACAGCAATCTTGACACAACCGCTTACTTCTTGCTGAGTTAATGCGTTGAACTATCAGAGCACTCTATCTTACTGCGTGTCGAGTGACGTCTACTTAGCGTGAACGTACGCGCAAAAGAATGGCTACACGGATAGATATAACGTCTGTGTAGTATTTTCGCGAACGTGCGGGTGTTAATCAGAATGAGATTTACATAGGCATGGTGAGAGAGAGAAAACCAAGCCACATTATACTGGTGGCTCAAAATTAACAAATGCAACGTGATTAAAATGGTCTCGATTAGCGACGTTGCTTTGAAACTTTAAACATGCTTTTTGATCTATGGTCCTCGGGAAAAGCGCAACATAATAAAATACTGCAATTAATCGAATGTAAAAGTACGACCGAAATTATGTAGCAGAAAGACAGAATATAATGAATACCATGATTATTCAACTGTATTGCGAACTCGCTGCAAGTAATTTTCGCTCACTTTTTAGGTA